CATGCTCTGCTGCTGGCAGCCCCTGGAAAAAAGCCAGGGGAAGGGAGAGGCAGGCCAGGGGGTCTCAGCTCTCACATGCTGCTGCCGCCACAGCTCCCTTTGGCAGTGGCAAAGCCGCATCTACCAGCCAGCCAGGTAAGGTAACACAGCGGCCGCAACTGGGACTGCCCCAGCCCCGATCTCCCGCACGCATACCCTGCTCCCCCCCCCAACCACACACACCCCCCAGCGCCCTGCCCTGAGCCGCTCAGGGCAGGGGGCTGAGGTGGCCCACACACACCCGGCCCACACCCCCAGCCCTCACTCCTGCAGCCCCCCACCCCTGCCCTGAGCACCAAACAGAAGCTGCCCCAGGTAAGCACTCCACACCCCAACCCTCTGCCCCAGCCCTGAGCCCCCTCCCACACCCTAACTCCTGGCCAGACCCCACACCCCAATATTTTTTTTACATTTTTTTTTATAAAGCGCTCTTATCCAAAGCACTTTACAATAGTTAGCTAACAGTACAAACAATATTTGGAAAGATAATTAAGTGGTCTGCCGAGACCCTTAGAAATTTTCAAGTATTCTGTGGAGGAAAAAAAAGTTAGACTACAAAAACAATCAAGGCCCCTCACTTTATTTTCATTTACTTCCTATTACTTATAATAGAGGAGGAGGATGAAGAAAAAAACAAAATGTGGTACAGGGATGAGGGAGATAAGAAACAATGTTCTTTTTCTTGGCTGGGTCTCGAGATGGCCCCCAAAAATGAAGGTGAGCACAGGGCCCCACTAACTCTAAACCCGCCACTGGAAACTGGTATACCCTTTTCTCACTGTAATTTATTTTTAACAATATCCACCCCTTGTTCTTAAGATTTTTTACTTCTTCAGCTTTGTGGTGCACCTACTAATTATTAACTACAGGGACTGATGAGTTTGCTCAACAGAACCTGCTTGAAATCCATTTCCATATCTCAAAACTTCAACTACAGCGAAAATACTGACATGCTAGTTGAGGTCCATGAAACCAGGCTGTCATGCTGAGTCAGTATGCTGTCATAATTATGTAGTATTTTTGCTTTCTTTCCTGTTATATATTCAGGATTTCCTCAAGTTTAAACTACTCTCATACATTTTCTCTTCAGAATAAACAGATTCCTTTAGTCACCTCCTTAAAACTGTTCCACAGAACGCAATAAGCCAGCACTTAAAGGAGGTTTTCACTGTATAAGAAGTTATAACATTTTGCCTGCAGTTTTCTGTTTTCTTGCTTTCATTAGATTTTGACACCTAAATAACTCCCCCCCACACCTAACTTATCTTTTTACCTATTACTTTAAGTGCAGTCACAATCTTTGTGTATCACATCAATCTGTTACAAAAAGTTTTGATATCAGTCACTTCTTATCAATGAAAACTTGTGATACTGTGAATGTGTTTAATACAGATCAAAAGGAAAATGTGTTAGTTGAGACAAAAGTTTTGTTAAACATGCTTCATAAGTAGCGAGATTAGCTGAACAACATAAATCCCGCTTTTTTTAAATTTAAAATACACACTCTACATGAATGAACACATTCTCCAGTGATAACAAAAAGTAATCCAAACCTTTTAAAAGAATTGTAAACAGTAAACAAAATTAAGCCAGGAATGTTCCAAAATAAAACATAATGGAATATCTAAAACAATGAAGGGTATGTATATTTCATATGGAGATTTTAACTATATGAAATTTTAATATTTAAGCCTGCTCAGTCATCTTATGAATCTACATGTTCTATTATTTCACTTTACAAGTCATCTAACAAAAAACAAAAACCCAATTGTTTTAGATAGAATGTTTCATTTAGTCTGAGGAAAAACTAATCTTGAGTTTTAGTACACACTAACATGCTTACACTAACACCCTCAAAAGTGCAACTGCAGTATCATTCATTACACTTTCACAGAATATCAGCTAATTTAGAATCTATCTATCTATCTATGCTAGAGACGGAAATATGTTTTAAGACTTTGTTACAACACAGTTCTCTTCCAACACAGTTACAGGATGTTTCCATTGTTTCATGTTTTTAGTGAGTTGCTTTGTTTTGGTTTTAAGTTTAGTAATAGTTTTTAGAAGCACGTTAAAGCCTTGGATGATTGCAAGAGATGTTAGGTCCCTTCTGCACTGCAAAACAGAACTGTACTTTAACTGTGCACTTTGGATTTGCATCATGGATGGGAACAGTCAAACTGGATTACAGCAACCGATATTTTTGTTGTTAATCATGGCACAAAGTAAACAAGGTTTCCAAGTTATTTTTAATGGGAATCACTGCATTAGTGTACCGGTATCATAACAATATCTTCTAAAAATGAAACATTTTAAAGTTACTTAAAAACTATTTATAACGTTTATTGGGAACAGGAGGGATTATTAGCTATTTACCCATTTAAATCATTAAAACTTGTACCCAAGAAATGAGAAAGCACTTTGCAAACTGTTTCCTGATAGACGTTTTCTAGGCATTTTGAAGGCACTATTTGTCTGGGGATGGGGGCGTGTTTTGTTTTGTTTTGTTTTTTAAGAGTAACAACTACAGAAGCACTCAGTTTGAAATTGCTTTCGTAAATCAATATATAGCTTCTTACAAACCTGCTCACAGAAGCTTAAATTATAAACAGTTCAACTCTAGAGACGTTTTCATGTTCATCTTAATACAGTCCCTTTTCACAATAAAATGTGCTTCAGTTTCAAAAGCAATATAACTTTTCTAGGAGGAACTAGAGTTTGTATCATAGTTCCAGTCCAAACAAAATAAATCAAAACCTGCTGAGAGACTACCAGCTTCCTACAGACAAAATGTAACAATTGCAACAAAACATTCCTGATTTCTTAATTTGGTTTTGTGTCAAACAAAACTATATACTAAAACACCAAGATACTAACTTTCCATACAGCTATATAAAAGTTAGTAGAATCTACCAACCTAGTTATAACAAACAGAGATGAACCAGGGAAGAAACCACCTACAACAAAAGATTATTACTAGTCTGTGTAAAAATATGCAAACATTATGCACTGATATTAGAGAGAGAATTTGGACTAACCAAATTTGTTATTTATATATATATATACATATATATATATACACACACACACATATATATATACACACACACACACACCCCTCTCAAAGAAAAACATTTAGCTCTGTAAAGTTTTCCTTTGAATCTTTTATTTGAATTTCCATGTTTGCCTCATCCAACCAGCTCACACACACACATTCTATAATTAAAAGCCCAATCCAATTAAAGATATTGGGGTCAATTTAAAACTCCCAGCAGGAAAACAAAAAGACCTACAGACAGAATATCCTTAATGAATATACTTTCAAAAAATCAAAGGCAACTTTCTTTTGTATGCACACTTTCTTACTTAAATCCTGACTGCCCTAAACTGTGTTATTCATGTGGAGTCATACAAAAGTAAAATACAATGCATGTGGAGCTATACAAAGTAAAAAGTAAAGCACTTTGTTAAAAGTTTACATTGTTCATTTTTATGCTACTTGTTTGTAGACAGGTAAGAGGTTTTTTTAATATATACAAAATATGCACCAACTATGGTTGCTGAATTCAAGCGGTCCTATGAAAACAGTTACAATAAGTCAGAAGCAAGTACCTGCAGAACAAACTGCTATAAGCAGTATTATATAAGTATCAATACTGGCTAATAGTTTTCTAGATATCTACATCCGAACTTCAACAATAAATGTCTTTGTCATAAGAAGTTTACTTTAAAGTAGATCTTAAAGATTTATTTTTGCAGAATAAATTCAAATAGCCATTCAACTAGTAATTATATGTAGGAATGTTATGGTATCCAAAAGTGTTAAAACAATTTATCATCCATTTGGCATTAAATTTAAATTTTAAGATAACAAAAGTCCTGTTTTAAAACCACTCATTTTAATTAAGGTACAAGGAAGAAAAAAAAACTGTTAAAAGTGATGTAAAATGTCTGTTTATTGCCCAGAAGTAAACTGAGAATTGCAATTCACATATAGCAATTAAACACTCTATAAACCCCATGTCTGTCACCACTAGTTACTTCATGAGTGTAATCTAAATATGATATTAAAGTGATTTAAAAACTTTCATTCCAAAGTAGTTAACCCTCAAATAGCCAAAGTATCATATACCTATATACACTGCAATTTGTATTGTCAGAATAAATTACACTTTGTTTACAGAAGCTAATAACTAACCCTGCCTTTTTATTCAACTGTGCTGCCTATAATTCTATGCAAGCCCTTGAAACCACAACCGAGAGCAATGCACCAACAAATAACTAACAACAGTTCACTTCAACATCAACTTTTGGATGTGCAAGACAGCCACCATAATGGCTGATCCAGCAGGACTGATGCGCAGGAGGAGGTTGGTTTGTTTACTTGCTTGCCAGAGCCGCCAGCAGCAGCAGCACCACTTGAGCAATGCAATGCCACGAACAGACCAGCCTTCCACATTTCTATTCTTAGCACACGCGCAACTTCCAAGCTGATAAAAAATTTACTACTAACAACACAGACTTCTACGTTACATTTACCTCAAATTCACTGCCAGGCGAGGGGGAGGGGGGAACCAGGGAAGGCGATGGGGTGGGTCGTGGGGGGAGGGGTTTCGGCGTGGGAACTAGCCGCCTTTGGAGCCCCGCGCACCTCCCCCCGCCCCGCCATCACCTCGGCGATGCAGTAACCTGCGGTGCCTGGACAGGCCGCCCCCGCCAGCGTCCCCTGCCCTGCTCGGGGCGGCGGCCGGTCAGAGCCCCCCCGGGCCGGCGCCGCTGGGACCAGTCTCGGGGGTGTCTGGGGCTGAGGGGGAGGAGCTGGGCGCTGATGCAGCCTCCTCCCCACCCAGACAGGGACGGTCTGGCTAGGCCAGAGGCGCCCCCTCCCCGGCTCCCCGCGGGCTGCCTGCGCGCCCGGCTGCGGCCCCGTCACCCCAGCTGCCCCCAGACCCGGCTCTTACCTGCGGCGACGACGACGACGCTGCGGAGCAGGCGGCGGCTTCGGGAGGGGATCCCCGCTGCCCCTCCCCGGTCCCCCCGCCGGGCTCGGTCCCTCGCGGCCGGTGTCTCCGCGGGGGGAGGGAGGCGGCTCCGGCCCCGGCGCGCGGAGGAGGCGGCGGCGGCTACATGGAGCGAGCGTCCCCGCTACACAGGGAGGCGCCCGGCCGGGCAGCGCGGCCGCAGCATCCACGGGGTCAGGGCGGCGGCTCCTCGCTCCGGCTCGCTCGCCCCGGGACCCCCGCTCTCGGCTCCGCCCGCCGCCTCCGCCGGGCTCGTTATTGACTTTCGGGAAAACTCCCGACGTCACTGGCTCCCCCCGAGTGTCTCCCCCTCCGTCCGCGGCGGCGGCGGCGGCATCCCCCAGCTCTCGCGAGAAGCGCTGCACTGGGGGGGCTGCCAGACAGAGGGGGGAGGAGAAGGAGGGGGAGCCAGACAGAGTGGGGAGGGGAGGGGGTCTGAGGTGAGTGTAGGAGACAGCCCGACCGACCCGGCCTGACAGACAGCCTGGGGAGGCTGGCTGAGGGGAAGGAAGAGCCAGAGGCCAGGAGGGCTGGAGAGGAAGGGAGCTAGGCAGAGGGGGAGATGGAGGGGTGGGGAGAGGCAGGCGGAGGGAAGAGGGGTGGAAACTCATCCCATGGGAAGGGTTCTGGGGCTGGAAGAAGTTCACCTAGGTTTCAATTTTCCTTTTCAGGCATAAAGGCACGTGTGGCTAAGGTTACCCAGCCAGCAAGTGGTGAACGTTTCCTTAGCTTTTGGATTTGTTCTTTAGATTTGTACCAACACGCCCTATGCAAGGATAATAACCATCCCCCTGCTGCTGTCTCTACACTCTATGGTTAAGCCCTTTTGTTTTCAGATTTTATTTTGTTTACAATTTCTCAGCTATTTGTTCAGGTTTATTACAAAAATTTTGGGAAAAAATTAACCTCACTTTTCTGGGTAAATATCAAGGTAACTATCCCTCTCTTCTCCTGATCTTGTTTTTGCTTTTTAAACTTTCAAAATAAAGTTTTGTTTATTTTCCTTATGTTCTGAAAGGAAAGCAGATATTTTTTCATTTTCAACCCATGTTAGCCTGAAAAGTAATTCACCTGTCTTTATTTGCTTTGATGTACAGCTAGTTATCAGCATATCTGTAAAGCTGATGTGTGTGTGTGTGTATAGTGGGTGTGGGACTGACAATAGTAATACACCAGTGCTCAAGTCATTCCATTACTTTTGCCCTTGCTCCCTACTCCTGTGAAGGAAATAGCAACTCAGTAAGAGGTTATGGAGCTGCCATCTCTCCTTCTGGAGCAGGCCTAGAAGTGGAAGAGATGGAAGAAGCAGAGTGAGGAGGTGGCACTCTCATCTCCATCTCTTCTGCTTCAGGGCCCACTCCAGAAGAAGAGGTGATGGCCCAGATGATCAAACTGCCCTCTCGCCTGCCAGAGCACGGGGCCAGATCTGGGGAGTTCTGCCATTTCTGAAATTCAGGTGAAAATTGGTGAAAACCAAATAATGGCTTCTGTAAAACCATCTGGGTAAAAAAATGGTAAAAACTGAAAACAAAGGGCCTTTGTTATGGTATAGTAACTGTTCCCTGTACTATCACCCCTCTGAGTTAGAATGTGAGCTCTTTGGGACAGGGACTTTGTTTATGATCTGTAAAATACAGAGTACATTTATATCCCTCTTTAATAACAGCTCTACTTTTTCCAATAGTGTTACTTGCCTGTTTTCTCTCTATATTGTAATTTAAAAGAAAACTCTTCTATAAAAATTGTGTGGTTTATAGCACACAAAAGCTATCCAATCTGGACATGTTTTGAGTTTTATTTCATTTTCTTTAAACACTTGTCTTCCCCTGAGAACTGATGGCACAGTTGGCTCTATACAAACTTCGAAGAATGGAGCAGTAACACCACAAGGGAAAATATTAAAACTCACTCTAGTTGAGGTATCTATGGAACATCTCAAATCTGTACCTTTTAAAACAATCATTTTTAGCTCCTTGCTTAATTTCTCCAGTGTTTACATATATTTTATCCTAATGGATGTCTAAGAAAGATCAAGAATTTTTTCCACTTAAAGTTCTCCTTGATCGTTGACTGAAAAAGCACTAAACTTTTGCTTCTCAGATCTTGATCCTGCAATACTAACTTGAACGAGTGATTCTTATGTATCTAGTCCCATTGACTAAAAGACTATATGTTAGCAGACTGCTGCTTCATTAAATTACATTTTGTGGCAACATACTGCTACCTTTTGATTTTTATTCTATCAGTTAATGTTGTGCATAATATGTATGCAGTTTCATTTGTGCTGAAGTACATCCATTATATTTACAATTGATAGTGACATGTATAAGGATCTATTATCACTCCAAAAGGAAAAATATGTTGATTTATCAAACTAAAACATTTGTGTTTCTTTACCCTAACGTTTGTTCTAAAAGTGACCTGCAAAGACAATATTTATTTATGGGAAACAGTGGGTTATGTTGTTCCTTTTCCTTGCTACTCCACGGCCTTTTAAAAAAAATTGAAATTGCAGGTCCTTGTTTCCTGCTTTTGCTGGAGGACCTGGTGAGATCTCTGAAAGGCTTAAATAATCACATGGGGCTGTAACCAAGATTCAGCTCTCTGTCTCTTCAGTTGTGAAGGAGAAAAGCAAAACCTACTCCCTACATTAATTAAGAGATACTTTTCTAGAAAAGCACACACCATACATCTTCAGTTCCTACAGTGAGGGACTTTCTCTTTTTCAGTAGCTCCTTAATGAAATGAGTAGACTGTGTCATCAGTCACTATTTCTGTGGTACACTGCTATTCTGTTTGTTGTAAAGTAACTGCAAAAGAACCCAAAGCTTGAGCATAGGCAATAACTAGTAAACTAGCTGTCAGACCCTGCACCTTCCTACATGCATGCTTTGTTCTATCCTAGTGTCACTGGCTCACTAATATAGCCCTTTTATCCCTCTAATCTTCCTCTTAGGACACTTATATAGCAGGGTGGCTTGCCCAGCGGCTGGAAAGCCTGGGACTAAGGCAGCCCCAATTACAAGATGAGTACCACCTGAGAGGAATCAGGGATTCCAATATAAAAGATATCAGGAAGGTGGCAAGTATGATGTGGGGGTGTGAGTGTAGGGTAAGAGGGCTGAATTCTAGAAAGAGAGGGCTGGGGAGTGGGGATGGTTTCAGGCAGAGTTTATGATTTTGGGACTTTGTTGAGAACTGTTTAGATTATTTTGTGATTAAGATTGTGTGAACTGTATATGACATTAAACTAGCCTGAGAAAGGGGTGCTAAGAGTCACAATAGAGACTATTTAGAGTACTTAAGTAAAAAGTCTATGAGTAGGAGCTAATAGGGACAGAATGCCTCTAAATCACTTCTGGCCATAAAGGGGTACTCAACAAGCAGCCACCGTGCTATAACTTGCTTTGGAATATTCAGCAATCTTTTCTGCTTTACCTAACTTGAGTTTGAGGGCTGTACAGATGTTTTCACAACCTACTGATTGACCATACCTACAATTTCTGGCTTTGAAAAACTACTAAACTTGTATTTAACCAGAGTAAACATAACATAAACATTAACAATAGCTTTCAGTATTGCTTCTACTTACTTTTTTCAGAGGGAAAGGCTAATTTTATGAGACCAGAGCAGTGCTTCCCTTCCTGATTACAGTCTGGCTCCCCAAACTGCTCTCTGATTTTGATCCTTCTCTCTTGGAGAGCCAGTCAGCAGCCCTTCAAATTCAAAACACCTGAAGTTTCAAATGAGCAATGTGTGTGGAGTTTCTATCCTGGAGTTCAAGCCTTTGTGTCTGAGTGCATCCATTATGTTCTTTTTGGTCTTTGTCCCATGACAAACTCCATCAGATAATTTATTTTAACACTATCTCATATCATACAATTTCATGGTAATAAGGACCCTTCTGCACAGTGGCAAGTATTCAAAGGCCAAACTTTTTGAGTGAAATCCTTGTCCCATTTAAGTTAATGGCATTTGATATCAATAGAATCAGAATGTCACCTTATGTTTCTACTAAGTAGATTTGCCTTACTTTCAAATACTAATCTCTGCCACTTGCAATGATAAATGCCACACTAGTAAAATAGGTACATTGTATCTTAGTTTATTTCTCTTATTTTTTTTAAAAGCTGCCTATTTTAATTACTTTCTTTAATTTTGGTAATGGCTACTTTGTATAAATAACCTAGAAGATCCAACATGAAACTACATTTACTTTATATTTTAAAATGAAAAACCAAAAATGCTGCAGTAATGACACTTTCATTGTTGATGGGGAAAACATTTTTCTTCTTTAATAAGAAGTACTTTATTATATTTAATTACATTAACTTACACATTTCTGAAAAAATGACCATGGGCTAAAATTTCTTGTATTTACTTTGAGCCTAAATGTGAATTTGTTTGGTAAGATTCCATTAGAATATTCTTGATCTATCCCAATGAGGGAAAGGGGTTGTTCATGAGTTAGCACCTTTTGAAAAATGTACCATTTTGTATTTAAATAACTGTCTTTAAAAAATTCAGATTCATCATGGATTTAGGGCTAGATCTACAAAATAACTTAGTTGCCTAATTGCTACTTTTGGCATCTGTGAGATCTTCTAAATCCTTACTCAATTGGTGCCTGAAGTTCCTAGGCATCTGACTGTCCACTATTAGAGTCCCCTAGATATCCATGTTTCTGCCAGTTAACATACACACAGCTGCCTCAATTTGGGTTTGGGTTTGGGTGGGATCCTCAGAGGTGCTGCCCCATCTGTCTCACCTGTGGGGCCCAGCCCAGTAGACAATCTCAAAACATACAACCCCTCACAAAACAGCCAGATGAGAATGTGGAGGTGGTGCCCCCTCCCCATAACTTTTAGCTCCATGGCTAGAGCATTCACCTGGGACACAGGCTCGCAGGGGACTGGAACCAGGGTCTTTCTCTGACCCAATGCATATTTTAATTATTTATGTACAGTGGAACAGCTTCAACAGGAGAGATTGAGTGAGACTTGCCCTCAAATACCCCATAGACCAATGGTTAAGGCACTCTTGCAAGGTAGGAGACCAACGTTAAAATTCCTTTTCTACATCAGATGGGGGTGGGAAATTGAATCCTGGGTCTCCCACATTGTGGGTGAGTGCCCCCAAACACTGTGCTAAGAGTTATAAGGAGGGCTGCTCCTCCTGGCATTTCTTGCAAAAAATAATTGAGGCACCTAACTGCAGGAGAGGGTTCACAGCTGAGACTCCTAAGCAGAGATAGGTACCTGCCTCTGGCCTGGACCTAGACCATACCCATGTCCTTGACATTTCCTTCAGGTTAGTTTAGGTGACTCCCTGCTCAGTATTCTGGCATTTCTGGATCCCATTCT